CCGTATGACACAATGAGACAGAAAGAGAGACAGAGAGAGAGAGAGAGAGAGAGAGACAGAGACAGAGACAGAGAGACAGAGAGAGAGAGAGAGACAGAGATGCAGGACAGACGGTAATGACAGTAGCTTACAACAACATTAATGAAAGTAATAATAATCATTAATATTAATATTAATAACTAATGTTACCTACAGCCTATTAAACATTATTCCACTCACATGACATGCAGGACAATTAATAATGGGCAAATGTGTTTGTGTATGTGTGTGTGCGTAGTGTTATATCACTCGAGCAGCTGCACATTTAACAGCCACACATCATCGACAGTCCGCTGAACACCGCAACGGGTTGTGAATGAAATAAACTTAATTGCAACATGACAGTCTTGCACGAAATATCATTAACGTTACTCTTTGTAGTCACGTAGGCATGTGAATTACAGCGTTTCATTGTAAAGAATGCATGTAACGGGTACACATGTGCTGTTTCTCCGCCATCTTGTTCAAATGAGCCAGACGTAGGGGGCGGGTATTTATACGTCATGGCCTCAAGCTGAAAAAGACTTCCTGTTAGGAACCTCTCGTGTTACCTTACTCATTGCACCTAACAGATCCCTCCTAACGCCTAACGCTAACTCCTTACTGGCAGGAATAAGAGACATGAGATGGCCTTAAAGATGGTGGAGCTCGAATGACTTCCGGTTCAAATAAGGAGTTAGGAGTTAGCAGTATAAAATAAGAGACTTGGGACGTACTCCTGGAACGGGCAAGCAGTCATTTATTAATTTGCGACACCTGCTACCTGTTTTCCACGTCCCCTCTCCCGACAACCTGGTCTGTGTAAGAGCACATTCAGGATCAACAGTATTCAAAACACTTTTAATTGTTTTTATGCGTAGGTGAAGACAGACCTGAGGAACAGGCTGCAGGGGGACCATCTGGCTGCATGCATGCTACTCAGCATCGATGGGCCACCTCTGAACGAGTTTCCATACAACAGAGCCTTAGAGCTTTTTTTCCAAAAAAATCAAGAAAAATTAAGTGCTCTCAGCCAGGCTGCAAACTGTGCCATTAGATTATGCTCCAGTTGTGTAGTGAACAAATGGTGTATTTATAAAACCATTCAGTTTTAAGTTGTCGTAATTTCACATCTCAAATTTCACGTCTCACAGAAGACAGGAAGAGATTAGGCTACAGTTGTGTATGTAGTTGTGCTACCGTTGTGTAGTGAATTAGAGTTGGGCGGTATCCACATTTTGTTACTGTTAAACCTTTCCCACATTTTCCCAGGGTATATGATATTACTGTAATTAAAAATCACTTTGAAGGGCTCAGAGGGAGTCGCCAAAATGTCGGCTTGTGCCTATACTGTTCAGAAACAGAATAGCAAACATTACATAGGCCTAAGAATACTGAAAAATAACAACAAAACATGTACAACATTAACACCTTTTATTAACAAATATTAGCCAAAAAAAAAAAAAAAAAGTGCAAATGCAGCAGTCAACCAAACGGAATGAAATAACAACAAATTGTCTGTGGGCTACAGTCCACTTCCAAAAAAGTAACAATAAATAACCAAGGCAGTATCGATAATGTGTGCTCTACAGCGTATCCTCAGACCGCGACGGGTACTGTCCAATGGTTTATTTTTCGAGCCTACCTTTAGTTTGAAAAGTTCTGCCTCTCAAAGTCCAAGCTTTTTTGTCCATCAGAACAGGCTACTCCTCATTGAAAATGGCATATACACAAAGTATAATGATAACTATAGCAGCATCATTGGCTGGCTCCATCACATTTCCACCAGAGAGAGGTCTTTGTCTCCCGGAATAACAGGCTCGTGACAACAGGCATTTCTGCTCCTGCTCGCTCCTGTATGGTGCCGACCGGACCTGCGACGGCATCGGCTCTTCTTTGAAGGAGACTGCCCAGAGTCATCTGTTTCCCGGTGGTTTGGGTTGCGCTACTCCCTCCTCCACTGGAACTGCTGCTGCTGCTGCTTGCAGAAGTTGTGAAGTTGTGTTTTTGTTTTTGCAACCAACTGGCTTGATGCGTGGCATGCCATGTTTTCTTCTCTTTCTCACGTCCGAGCTGTCACGTGACGATGTCACATCCAAAAACTTTATCAAATGTCATCTCCCAATCTTCTCACCCATATGCTGACAGAGGCCCTGGCGAAGTTTTAGAGTCCTCACATCCTTTGCGGAGATCGGCAGGGGGAGCGGCTAGCACACCTAATGGCTGACGGCGCCCCAGACTAACGTCCAAGAACACAAAATTGAAGCCACACAATATCTCCAACATGCTCATCCGTAGTGATACAAGTGTCCTGAAGCCCCATCATAAAAAGTTGTCTCGAAAAACGTCATTTGACACTGTTTTTAGCCTCGCTGTAGCCTGTAGCTCTGACTGCTTCTCTGTGCTCCGCACTCACCTATTTATGTAGCTCCTTTAACTTTAGCTTATATTGTAGTTATGCTATGTAACGTGTGAAATAGAGTATGGTGAATGTGCTAGGAAAGGTAGTATCAGCCCCGCTTGTACCTAGAGCTCGCATGTACGGAGCCTGGGTTTGGTTGAAGGTGGCAGTGCTGTTTGGGCTGAGAAAGCCATGCCTAAGTAAGGTAAAGGAGGTTATTGGGTTGGTGCAGGGAGGGGAGCAGTGAGACCTGGCATTAGGGGAGTGTCTCTGGGACGCTAGAGATCACTGTCTAGCCTCCTGGAGGTGTCGTGGGACCAACTAGACAAAACACTGGTGAAAGGAGGTTCCCACCCGATGACCCCAAAGACATGCTAGTTATCACTGATCATTGGTTTGTATAGTTCAGCCTTGCCATATTAGCTTATCATAGGGCTTAGGTTTTTCACTGAGTGCTGATCCTTTCTCTAGAGCACAAACTTCTTATGTTTATTTGAACATAAAAACATTCAGTTTGAAGTAGTCATAATTTCACATTTCAAGGATAAACTGAGCAGATATTTGTGGTCACAGGTCAAGGTCACTGTGACCTTGTCTGTCTCATTCTTGTGAATGCTATATCTCAGGAACACTTGAGGGGAACTTATTCAAATTTGGCACAAAGGTTCACTTGTAGGCCGTAAGGTGAATCAGAAAAGGTCTCACAGAAACTGATTTCTGCTCCGACATCTGGGGACTACACAATCTTTACTTCATAAAAAAGATTGATACATGTTCAGCTAATCAGCAGGAGTTCGTAGCTCATAACCCCGCAAGAGTCCTGTGATCGGGGTCGTAATTCGGCACTTGTTTCGTCTGAGCGTAATGATCAGTTCTGCCTGAGCGTAATGAGATTTGGTACGCGAGTGGTGGCACGGCGGTCACGTGATAGCGCTACACCAGTAAGGTACCCGCATTTCGTGTCGCCATGGTTTCATTCAGCAGAGGAAAACAGACCCGGATGTCGTCAAAAATAGGCAGAAATGAGCTGAAACAGCGCTATTCACATCGCCGTGTCCATGAAACACGATGAGACAAATAGACAATAAGGTGAACTAAGCAAAAATGTCTTAAAACACATTTGATTCAATACCTGGGAATGACCGACGCATTATTACATAGACAGCTGTCCAGTACGGAATATGAGAACGGCCATGTATTTTTTTTTTGTGCACTGTTATCTCGTGATAACGAGACGATAACGTTATGTTGATATAACAAATATTGTTTTCCCGTGATAATTGTCAAGTCTGATGATTGCGCACTGGTTAATGTGATTGTCTTGATTTCAGCCAACAAGAGCCGCCGTGGTCCTGCCAGATGCTTCCTGCTGTTATCATTAGTCACACTTCTGCTGTTATTATACACATATGATTATTGTCACATACCGTATATTTCCAAATAGTCGCCCATTGGCATATAGCCGCTGGACACCTAATAGCCGCCGGGGGTTTGACCCCATTTTGCGTATTAAACGCCAGTCCGATTAAACGCCGGGGCGATTATTTCCTCATTCATTGCCTCAAGGAGGGACAGCCCTGCAGGCAGGGAGAGGGACTGTTTGTGCTTTTTGTTTGGGTCGGTGGTGAAGTAGCGCACATGACTCGTGCTATGGACGGACGGACGGACGGACAGACAGCCACGTATCTAAAACAGGTAATACATCTGGCTACATCTTTCCCACATCAAATATCCGTGATCACCTACACCCGCGTGCGTGAAAGCGCACACAATTCCGTGTCCTCTCACCGCGGATGCTGTGATTTGATGGCCCGGTACTCATTGTAGCCCACTCAGGACAGTAACTTTGGCTCCCAGTATTACTATTTCCTGTGATACTTGCCAGACATTTTAATAGGAGCTCAGCCAATCGCTGTGGATGCTTGTCCAGAAGTTCAGAATCTATTTTTGCTTATTGTATCTATAAAATTGCTCCCCACTTTACGGTTTTTCCTACCAGAATTATAAGACTTGTTTCTCACTATTATGTTTTATTACTCTGTAGTAGATGGTGGAAAAATTTTTAACATGAAATTGAAATTTGCTAAGTTGCTGCTATTGTTTTTTTAAGGTGTCACTTTGGTATGTAGTTGAGTTGTATGTCTTATTGTTTCTCATGTCACTCCCTTCAAACCCTTTCTGTCCCTAAACGTCCTTATCATATCGCTGTGATCCTCATGACCTTCTTCCCACTGTCTTACCCTTTCTTTCTAGTTGTGTTTCTCTTTTCTGTGGTCTGTCTCACCTCCTGTTGCTTCTTGTACTGGCTTCATCTTTTTCTTTCCATTCTTCCCCCTTCATTTTCTTTTCCTCTCCTCTGTTTTCTCCTTTATCCTGTCTGGAGTAGAAGTTGTGGTGGAGTATGAGTACGACGCACTCCATGATGACGAGCTGACCCTGCGACTGGGTGACATCATCAAGAATGTGCGGTATATAGAGGAGGATGGCTGGATGGAGGGAGACCTCAACGGGAAAAGGGGCCTCTTCCCCGACAACTTTGTTAAGGTGAGAGGAAGACAGTTTAGTTTATGTTCACTTGATATCATGCCACTTAGTTGATTATAGTAACTCTTGAATTATGATAGACTTAGCCTGTTTACACTGTAGAGCTGACCTTGCACTTCCTCTTAGGTTTCAAACGCTGTTGTTCTATCAGAGATAATCCTACTGAGGCTGTGAGCGTTATCAGCCTGAGACAGAGTGTTGCTCACATGCTACACCAGATGTGATGGATTTCTAAAGTGCAATACACACTGCCGCCGGCGCGGCGCTGTGACTGTCAAGTGCCGCCCCCCAACGCACATTGGCAGCGGCGCGCAGCGGCACCGTCGACACTAAAGTGTATTTCCCACCCCAACCCGTTAGGTGGCTGTACCTACACTAGTTACCAACGGTTGTCAACTGCTAGTAATGGAAGAAGAGGAAAAACTTTGAGGCAACAACAACTTGGATTTCACGGGTGAGTTTCTTGTCAAAATGGTCTTATTAAAAATCTGAAAAACTTAAGTTGATACTACGGCGGCCGAGACGTACATAAAAGGCTTTTCTCGCAGTGGGTTTGTTCATAGAATATAATGGAGACAGGCGTTTTGACGCGCAGCGTGTGGTGGCGGTGTGTGTTGCACTTAAAAGTCAAATCTGAATTGTTCTATGCTTGGTTGACAAGATATGTCTTTGTTGAATCACTTCAATGCGTTGAATTTTTTTTTTAAAGAAATTGAGAGGTTTTAGTAGACTTGCACCGATTACAATTTTTTGGGCTGATCCTGATTTCCGAATTGCAGAGTGTTTGGACGGCCGATTACGATTTTGGCCGATTCTGATTTCATTTTTTTCAAACCACTTTACAGCACACAAGATATTGCAATATTTTCTATCTTTCCTTTATTAGAACATTTTAACCAAGATACAACCAGCTTTTCAATAATCATCTCAAACAAACAAACAACAACAGTGGCACCAGTTAAGAACATTTTCCTTTTTGCTCAAATATAACTTTAGGTACAGTATTAAAATAAATAAGTAGAACAGGCATACATAAATAAAAACGTATATAAATAAAATAATTCCTTGTGTATAGCATTTGTGGACAATTTCTTGAATAGACAAAAATTCCATACGGCCATCATGGTGAAGGTCGCCTGTACGAAAGCCCTTAGCGCTGAGGACGCGCCCGCCAGTAAGCGCGCAGACATGCGCATCTTCGGCACGCGGACACGCGCATCTTTGGCACACGGACACACACCTCGTCAGTTTCAAGTGGCACAGTGCAGCAGTGAGAGCTCCGCAGTTAAGTTTAACACGGACAATTAACAACTTTCTCCTTCTCTCTTTTGATGTGTTGGCGTGAATGATTAAGGTGAGAAGCCATATTTGTAATCGAGTGTAAAGCTATTTTTCCTTTTGTTTATTTCAGAACCACACACATACACACTTGTTGATAACCTCCTGCATTGAAAATGAAAGTATCCATTGGAACCCGATTCTCTGGCTGGAATCATTTATTCCATAGTTGTCCTACCCAAACCAGTGTGTGCCTGAGGTCCCCTTCCTCACATCGCCCAAGACGTGAATTGCACATGTGCGTGTGTGTGTGTGTGTGTGTGCTGCCGACGTTACATGATGTCAGTCATGCGGTGCGGGTTACAGGTCATGGCTGATCACGTGAAAACTGGCCCAGTTCCGAGCACTGCCAATTAATCGTTGCAAATTTAGGTTTTAGTCTAGCCTTTATCAGAATTTATATAACAACTAATAAGCAAATGGACCCTGGGTTTTCTGCCTTTAGCCTGCATGGTACTGATAACACTAGATTGAAAGAATCAGTTAGTGCAGTTTGATGCTGGATCATCATGGTTAGAAAAAAAATCTTTGTGATTGTCATCAACAATGAAAATTAGTTGATAAGAATTTTGATGCTTTTAGGACAACACCAATTTTGTCTGTTCCAAGTAGAGCTGAGCAATGTATTGAATTAAGTCAATTAATTCAAATTTTTGTTTTTGCATAATGTGTAAAATATCTACAATGTGAAAGTCAAGTTACAACATTCACAAAAAAATTACTTTCAGTCAAAGTAACCTCAATAAAAGCTGGTTACATTAGCCTGCTTGAGTCAAGACAGTCTCCCCAGCAAGCATTTTTTGGTATAAAAAACGCCTAATAGCCGTCTACATGAAGACCTGATGTCTAGGCTAAATCACGGCTGAATTTGGTAGACGTCTAACCATAGCCAAAGGGTAGACGTTATCAATTATACGGCTATGTAGAGACCATGTCCAAAAAATGGAGATAAACATAATTTACTTACTGTTGACTCTCCATACGTGATTGAATATCATACCGCACGCCATCTGCAATGGCCGAAAATTACATTTAATCAATTTCAAAATTAAATCGGCTAGATTTGGGTTACATGTAGCTAGACTAAATCGGAGCTAAATATAGCCAATACGTTTAAATCACGACTATTGCTTGCTGGGTCATTCACTGTGAACCCGCTGCAGTTTACAGCTAAAGTAAAGCACTGGCAATAGCTATGGCCGGAGGCATGATGTCAGTCAGTCTGTCAGTCTGTCCCTCCATCCTCCCATCCGTCTATCCGTCCAGCCATCCCATCCTTTCGAAGGCAATATCTCAAGAACAGCTTGAGGGAATTTTTTTAAATTTGGCACAAATGTACACTTGGACTTGAATAGTGAACTGATTAGTCTTTGGTAGTCAAAGGTCAAAGGTCAAGGTCAGTGTGACTTCATCTGTCTCATTCTTGTGAACATCATATCACAAGAATACCTTAATGTAATTTCTTTAAATTGACATAAATGTCCACTTGGAGTGAAGCATAAATTGATTACAATTAGGGATGCACCGAAATGAAAATTTGTGGCCGAAGCCGAATAATATTAAACGCTTGGCCGAATGCCGCTGTTTAGTTTTTCATTAGTATTTGCAGATGAACCCCCTCCAGATTAGTGTTGTCATGGTACCAAAATTGGACCCACGGTACAATACCAGTGAAAGTATCACGGTTCTGAGTAGTATCAGGATACCACAGCAAAAGTGAGGCAGATGTGCCTTTTGTCATTTATAAAAAGATAAATCACTTTTCTATAGTACATCAATGATATTTCAATGGAACAAATTACTTATTGACTTCCCTTCCCTGAAGTCCCTTCATACTGTAAGTAAAGAACAGTCCCTAAAGTGCGGTGAGGTTTGTGGACCGTTACCTGCCACAAAGAGAAAAATGTGAACGGCTCGTTTGTCCTCTGATACGCCACATACTGTGTGCAGCCATGGCTCGGCTGTTCAGGTACTTTAGGGCAGTCATGACAACAAGTTATTCAGCTGGAGCCGGACTTCTCTCAGCATGCTGAATGATTTATTTTGCCCGAACAAAACTATTTTTAGTCGCAAATGCCAGTGCGGTGATGGACGGAGTAAAATATCGCCACACTGCCGACATTTTACTCCGTCCGTCACCGCACGCTGTTTGATTGCGTTATCAAAACATGCCGCTATTATTCAGCCTTGCTTTTCACTTATTCCACCGAATACCGAATGTGTGGGGTTTTTTTGCAACATTTGGCTGATTATATTCGGTTACCGAATATTCGGTGCACCCCTAATTAGAATTTTGTGGTTGAAGGTCAAAGGTGAAAGTTGGTGTGACCTTACAAAAAATTTTTTGGCCATAACTCATGAATTCTCACAAAACTTTACATACATGTCTAATTCGGTACAATAATGAAGTGTCAACATTTTTTATCCAAAAGATGTAAGGTCATTTGAACAAAAAGGTGTTTTTGTTTTGCAAAAACACTTTTCTGGATATTATTTAATGTCAGAACTCTGGAACAGAAGGGAGAGACATCTGGTCAGATGAGCGAAAGAAATAGCCCAAAAAAGTTAATAACTTACAAATTATGGCGAAAAGGTAGTTTCTTACAACCCTAGAATTAAGATAAAAATATTCACAAATGAAAAAACACTTCTGATTGCTGATAAGTAGTGTTTAACTTTTGATTTAACACTAAAAATTAAAACCCTCGGCACGCACTACAGCACAAGCAGACAGATGCGTGACTCAGAGCAGCATGTGTCATGGACACCAGACTCAGAGTGCAGCAGACTGGTGGAAAATGTCACCATCAGCATATTATTTTACATCAATAAAATCTATTTTATCATTATTTTGAGTCACGTTGTTGAAAGAATTTAGTTGTCTGTGTTCAAGCAGGATAATAGGTCTCCATTCATTGCACGTTGGGCTTTCTATTTCCTTGTCAGAGATGGTGTTGTGTTCAAGGTATATATATACATCTATATATATATATAAGATAAGATAAGGTAAGATACACCTTTATTGATCCCACAATTGAGAAATTCCAGTGTTACAGCAGTCAAGGGGAAAGAGTCAGATTAAAGATTTCAAAATTTAAAAACGTAAAACAAACTAGGCATGCAAAAAGAGTACAAAAATACAAGAAACAGCAATAAATAAGAATAATAATGAGCAGTGAATAAAAAGTGAGCAATGGATTAAAGTAACAGTGAATAGTGCAAAGTGAATATATATATA